GACAAGAAAATGTCCCATGTTGGTCTGGGATTTATCCTAAAGTTTATGTGGAACTTATAACAAAAAAGGATGTGCCAACTCACTTCACATTATCCAACTAAATTAGTAAAAATAATTTTTAGGGTTCCGTTGTTAAACAACAAGGACGATGTCCGTTCGTTGGCGGTTTTACTCAGAGATCCTGAGTACAAAGCTCTAATTTGGCACAGTTTTAGATATTAATTACGCTTACAAAGTTGTGAAATTACTAGGGATGCCTCGATACGCCTTTTTGCCGATACGATACCGATACCGATGCTCGTATAAAAATATCGGCGATACCGATACCGATACGCTTATTGAATTCAAAAATGAAGATAAAATAATTAAACACAAGTCAGGTTATTTTTTTATTAATATAAAAGGAACAAATAACAGGACAAACAAAATAAAACCGTTTAAAACTATAGAAAGATTGAGATTAGTTAATCGTTTTAGTAATTAAAATGAATATTGATGAGATTTTGTTTTAAAACAAAGTATTCTTAAATTTTGGGAAGAAAGTGATTTCGGAACTCTGTTTCAATAAGACCTGCGGTGGAAAATAGTCTCTCAGATGCGACAGAACTCACTTAGAAACTAGAGTACGTCGGTGCCATTTCCTTTTAAGGCTAGGTATTTCGCAGAGACCGCGCTTTTGAGTTTTCTTAAACCATCTGAGGCATAGAAATTAGTGTTTTAAATTCTGATAAAAATATATACTATTAGTTAAGGATCTAGTCTAGTCAAAATCGCATTCAGTTACAAAATCTAAAGAACTTCACTCGATAGAAAAAAATCCCGAAGTGACCCCTTTTTTGTATTGTTTTTTCAATATTATGACTAAACTACTAACATTTTACACTTAAATTTTGTACTCAAATAAAGCCACTTAATTTTTACAGACAAATTCGCAGAGTTTGACTTGATAAAAATATTGTGTTAATTGCTATATTTAGATACCTCCTAAAAGCGCGAGCGCGGCGGCTCGGCAAGCCTGACCAGTCGCGCGGTGGCGCTTATGGACGACGGACTTGTGTCAGTTTTCTCCGTGCACCAATAAATCAGTTCTTGACGAGTTCATATAATTGTTGTCACAGACTAAATATTACGTGCTATAAATATAAATCCTGTGGTTTTAAGGACGCGTTTACAAAATTGATAGGTATAGAATCGCACTACTACATTGACAAAAGTCGCACACACAAGTGTACGCACGGTTGGCTGTGGGAATCGTAGTCAAATGAAATTATTTTGATAATTTGAAAGATTGAATTTGTTTTTTATTTCTTATACCTCAGAAATATACTTAGATACGAAATACGAATACCTGCTCCAGAGACTGCTTGGCACTGGAAGCCCTCTTGTACTTGTAGTGAGATGTTAGCTCTGGACTTTGAACTGGTTTTGTCAGTTATAATAAGACCTTACCTACCTGCGGACTTGATGGAGTGACCTGAAGGTGTAATTCGGTGATTACAACAGGAACTCCTAGACTAGTAGAACTAGGTGTGCCGAGTTTGGGTTCGTTTTGTTGGTTATGATGAGACCTTACCACCGGACTTGATGGAGTGACCTGAAGGGGTAATTCAGTAACTACTGCTGGAATTTCTGAACGAGTAGAACTAGGTGTGCCGAATTTGGACTCCGTTTTGTTAGTTATGACGAGTCCATACCTCCGGACTTGATGGAGTGACCTGAAGGTGTAAATCGGTGATTGCAACTGGAACTCCTAGACTGGTAGAACTAGGTGTGCCGAGTTTGGGTTCGTTTTGTTAGTAACGGATGAGACCTTACCACCGGACTTGATGGAGTGACCTGAAGGTGTAATTCAGTGATTACAACTGGAACTCCTAGACTAGTACAACTAGGTGTGCCGAGTTTGGGTCCGTTTTGTTAGTAACGATGAGACCTTACCACCGGACTTGATGGAGTGACCTGAAGGTGTAATTCAGCGATTACAACTGGAACTCCTAGACTAGTAGAACTAGGTGTGCCGAGTTTGGGTTCGTTTTGTTAGTTACGATGAGACTTTACCACCGGTCTTGATGGAGTGACCTGAAGGTGTAATTCAGTGATTACAACTGGAACTCCTATACTAGTAGAACTAGGTGTGCCGAGTTTGGGTTCGTTTTGTTAGTTATGATAAAACCTTACCACCGGACTTGATAGAGTGACCTGAAGGTGTAATCAGGTGGTTACAACTGGAACTCCTAGACTAGTCGACCTACACCTTCAGGTCACTCCATCAAGTCCGGTGGTAAGGTCTTATCGTAACTAACAAAACGAAACCAAACTCGTCACACCTAGTTCTACTAGTCTAGGAGTTCCAGTTGTAATCACTGAATTACACCTTCAGGTCACTCCATCAAGTCCGGTGGTAAGGTCTCATTGTAACTAACAAAACGAACCCAAACTCGGCACACCTAGTTCTACTAGTCTAGGAGTTCCACTTGTAGTTTTGTCACAAAATCTACCGAAAAACACCCTAATTTTGGTTGATTTGCAAACGCGTCCTATGAATTTACTGTAATTTTCACTTTCTCCCCTAGCGTTGCGTGTGTTCACACGAAACTGAAAAACAGTTCTCTACTCATACAGTACCACCTACCTATCAAAATACCTATCAAAAGCGAACTGGTTGTTAATTTTCTATTTATTATGTAACTCTAATTTATGGTCATAATAAAAAAAGTTTGATCATAAAAAATGCATTTGTAAAGTCAAATAAAAAAGTCATCCTACTGCTTATTTCTAAACTGTGTTGCTGGTTGGGTCATGCAAGTTCACTGCCTTGGAGTCCGCGCGAAATAATTCGTGCGCGGCCGGGACAGCGCTAAATGCCTACTTTTGCAGGAATACATGGCCTTAATTTTGGTTATAAGACGTTTTTTGCGCTAGAAAACGAACGGATCTGCGCCTCTCGATAAATATATATTAAGATACTTTAGGTATAGAGATACCTTCTTTGATATCTTCTTCTTTGAGACGATTACAGCTCAGACTAGACAGTGGAAACAAGGAAACAAGACACAGCACAGCATAGTTAGTAAGCTGATATATCGGTATCGGTACGAGTATCAGATGCATCCCTAGAAATTACCTCCCATACAGGTGATTAATTTTTTCTCGTACTTGTAGGTATATTTTATAGTGTGGCGTGTCATTGGATAGGTTCTTTCAAACATATTGAGGGTATGGAACAACATTTTTCTGATTCAGGGTTCCCGTTGCCAAAATAGTTATCTTGAAAGTGACATTTTTATAACAATATAAAAAGATAAAAGACTATAACACAATATAATTTAGAACCGGCTGAAAACTAAAAAAAATATAATTTTGCAATATGCTATGCTATGCTATATATCAGGCTGCTATATTGCGTTCTGAAAGATTCTGAAAGCGTGGCGGTATAATATCGGGCTGTGAGGCATTCCGTCTTGGCCCTCAGAAAGAACAACGCATCTGTAGACTCTGTTTGAAGATGGTACTGCCATCCACGTACTTACATCAGGTAGACTATAAAGTCACTCACTTCAGTTCCGAAGGAAAATAGAACCTTTTTGTTTTATAAACTCTGTTTAAAAGGCATACTAACGGACGACTTCTGTAGACTTCTTGGATTGTCTTTGTTTTTATTGCAGGTAGTTTTGGGTAGTCGTAGGTTATTGGCAGATTACACTCATAATTACTGCAGAACATTTGCTGTTGTATAAAGTGTTTAAAATCCGTTGGACGTGGATAATGTGACGCTATGTCTGTAAACAATTAAAGTGATTAATAAGTAATAGTTCCCATACAGATGGTTACCGTAAAATTAAAATAAAACCTCTGTTTTAAATCGCATCGGATGAATGTGATTAAATATTTGTCTTCTCTACTCGTAACAACAAACAATACATAGCGGGCTATCCCGTTTATCCAGCCTAAAGAATCGACCCTAGGGTGAATACTCGGAAACGCGTCTCCGTCTATCCGCCCCAGACCAAAGATTTAAATAGTTAGATGCGCCTTCACCTTGAAAAATGTGGCATTATTATTGAATGTGTTCGTTTGTAAGACGCTGGCGCGCGCACACTAATACAATAATGTCATCTCTTATTATCTTACAGAAATTGTGTATACTACATTCTCTGTCACACAAATGAGCACTGACTGCGAACGAGTGAGCTCATTCATTTGAGAATGGACACATTTCGGAGTGGTCATACTATAGTAAGGGCTCATCTAACGATTTAAATTTTTGCCCCAGACGAGGTGGATAGATGGAGACGCTGACGCAGAATCTGAATCCGTATATATTATATTCTTCTGAATTTTCCCTCAGCTGTGTACAGTTATTTAAAGAAATATGATAAAAACTGGATCAAGATACTTAGTATACATTGCCTATAAAAATATATACATACTCCTTGTTTGAAAGGTCAACGTTGAAATAGAAATCCTATGAGGTACTCCTCACAGGATTACAGACTCATTGCAGTTCTTATATATCTTAATAAAATAATTTAAAATAAGGTTAAAGACAAACTTCACTATCACGTGCTAATCAGGGCAAACATAGTGAAGAAACCCGCATGTCTGAGAAATTAAAAATATTTGGACAAAGGACATGCAATATCCGTTTAGACGCAATGTAGCACACGGCGAACGAACTGCTCTATAATCCTCTCATAAATCAAAGCGCGAACGTAGATTTTTTTTATGTTGCCAAAGGAGAAGGGTAAGTGGGCAATTTGAGAAGTCTCCTCCAACCAGTTTACTAGCATATACATAATATAAAAGTATCGATATATGCTGCGATCTATAAAAACCTTCAAATCATTAACTATGGACGTCGTTTAACACAGACGTTAAACGCACGTCAAAGTAATGCGATGAGATGGTAATAACTAAAAAAAGATTGTAATCAAATAATATTATACAAATTTAATGAAAATATAACAAACTCAATTTGGTCGTAAACTCGTAAAAGATATAGCCTACTCACTGTTTTCGTAAGACATCTTTGCAATGTCTATGGCAATAGCAAGTGACACATCGCAAATTTGATTAAGAGGTGGATATACACGCCCGATGGCTAGGTCTTCCTCAGTTACTAAACGTGCTAAGGTCTAAAAAATAAAGATTAACAAGTAAATCTAGTTTTAATAAATCTAGAGATGTAAAGAGAAAGTAAATCTAGTTACCATAGTTTTAAAAAATCTAGAGGTGTAAAGAGAAAATACTTTTTTCTAAGTCCTCGCCGGCACGCATTATACCATGCGGAATAACGAACGAGGCTTGGTGACCGGCTGATGGCAGAAAATCTCTCCAAATATGACAATGTGGCGATTACAAATTATAAATAAACTTTATTTCTCAAAAGTAAAAGTAGTGAAATAATTTATGTAGGTACCTACTTCGTATTAATTGAACATAGTTTCACTAATAAAGAACTACATAAATTAATTACAAAGCCTATTGTCTAATTATAAATGTAACCTTATAGTAATAATAATTTATCTATAATAATTAAAGTAGTTCGTTACAGTTGCAGTTATATTACGAAGAGCTTATTGAGCAATCGTGGTAATAGAGAAGTTGCATGTTTTTTTTTAAGTTTACTTAAAACTATTAAGAAAAATAAAAAAAATATTAACAATTGATTTTTCATGTAATTTTACATTTAAAGATTTTTTTTCTTCTAAAATGTAAATTCAAACGCCAGTGGCGTCATTATATCGCTTCAGTAACACCACCGCATGGTGAAATGATAAAACACTAATGTTTACGTTGTCAAAATTAAAAAAAAATGTCATTGCGTCACAGGTTATATATTATGTTTTGTTATGAAACTTAGTGATCCGAATTAGAAAATACAAAAGGATATAATGACGTCACAACATTTTTATTAATAATTACAAAAAAGGAATTGTTACTAAAAAGTATTTAAATGTAATTCTTTACGCTATATATATATATATATATATATATATATATATATATGGTAAAAAAATAATAATGCAACTTCTTGATTTCTGCGTACAGCAGGCGAGACCTATGATGATCCAAGTAAATGAAGAACCAAACATAAATCCACAGAGATACCACAGATATACTGGGGAGCAATATGACCAGTGCGAGCGTTGTAAGAGTTTCATCATTGCGCTCATAATCCATCTGACCAGAATGAAAATCAAATATTTTGTATGCGCCATTTGGCGCTTTCTTGGAAAAGCCTGATATATCAAGCAGTAAATTCAAACGTTAGAGAAAACAGAACAATTAATCTATGCACTGTTATGCGAATAGAAACGTTCTGTAAACAAATCTCATCTAATAACAAATCACATACGAGTAAGAAAACAGAATAAAGTATCACTATAAAATAATATAATAATATATATATATATATGTCCTCCAGATCGAATTTCGGCCACGGCGGCCTGCCTCAACGGAGGCTAGCCATCGGCGCAGGGCAGGATTATAGTTTTCAGCTATACTAAAAGTACTCTGTGATTATAGTGCCCAAGTTTATGGGTAAGCACAGGTGCACTCTCTATTCCCTCACTCTCATAATCCGATGGGACGGTAAACCGACACGACCTGAGAGAGATCAGGCGCAAGACCAACGGCTTTAGGTGCTTTCCGATACACGGAGGTGAGACACCTCCAACTTCCTGACTCCGGGCACCTACTGAGAATTTCTTGACAGAAAAACTCGATGGTATTTGATTTTTTGGCCCGACCTGGGATTTGAACCCAGGACCTCAAGATTAGCAGTCGCACTACTACAACCACTAGACCAACTAGGCAATGAAATAATATAATAAACATCAAGCAATGTCCCCAGACCATCAAAGTATGGGCGCGGCGAAGTGATGCCGAAACCATGCTCAACTTCTTGACACGCTCTCAGTCAACTCATCAACTCACACATTTTTATTCTTTGTTTTTTATCAGCCCGTAAATTTTCACTGAGTTACACTCTTAGTTATACATATAACTTTATAACTAAGGCCTTTTGTTTTTTCGTTTCGATTGTTACAAAGAAATAATTTGAATATTAATTAAGGAAGAAATATTTTGTAAAATTATTCATATAATTAAATTGATTATATTATAATTGTAAATAATAGTCAAGACTTGTAAAACATTCCACTTACCTGGGCAGCCATTAGAAACATAGAGTCTGGTATCATATGTGCTCTAACAGCTATGATTCCTAGAGCTAATCCCGGATATATATAAGCGTTGTTCCCTTGTCCTGTATGGAACTCATTGCCTTGGTAATTGACTGGAGGAAACGGCGAACCGGAGACATACACACATTTACCCTTAACAAGTGGTGAAATTAAAAATCTTGTACAAGCGACTTCAATAAAGTATAATGAGAATATCATCAATATAGTCGAAGTCCATTAATTGTCTATTATTAAGGATTACCCAAAAACCACTGGTGGAATCTTGATCAAATTTTTATGGGATCACACGAGAAGCATCAGCTTTCAAATAAGAAATCATCAAAATCGGTTCAATAATAAAAAAAGTCCTGAGGTAACACATAAAAATACAGTCAAATTGAGTTTACCTTCTTCTTTCCTTTTTTGAAGTCGGTTAAAAATTAAATTCATATTTTATTAAAATATATCCCCATTTTTATACCATAAACGTAAGGTGGATGCGCCGTAGAACCGGCTAAGTTTCTTGAAAGGGGCCTAATGTCAAATAGTGAACGCGTTGTAATGCGTATGTGACGTAGGTATTCATTAGAAAACTAAACAAATACTTTAATTGTCTAAGTATCTTCAGGGATATCAATGCATCAGCATTTTGAATACTAATCGAGGATAGATGTAGATGTCTATTGGCCACAGCATTCTCTCACCGTCAGGTGGACTGTGTGCTCTTTTGTCGTCCCTGTTCAATAAAATTCAAGTCCTGCCGTTTTTAAGGTGCTGAAGAGCCATTCTAATCTCGCTCGGACTGACGTCCGTGATATCATTGGAATAGTGTCGGATACGACTTGCTCTTGAATCGTTACTCACACTTGCGTGTGGCTCCAACGATGATGTGTACAGCTGCCCATAGAACCTGTCAATCTCACTCAATATCTCAGGTGTCCCGGAAACGATGCTGCCACACTCAGTCTTTGGCTTTGACAGTTGGCTCTTTCTGGCAGACAGATCTCTGGTAAAGACTTTGGAGCCCTGGTTCCGCTCGAACGCTTCTTCAATACGAGCAGTATTAAAGTTGCGCAAGTCTCGCCGCATGCATCTGGAGATCTGTCTGTTTAGTTACCTGTATGCTGTGAAATCTGCTGACGACTGCAGCTTCATCTCCCTTCTAACAGCTATGAGGTTAAGAGTGTGATCGGGGAGTTTTTGTGTTCTTCTGCGGCGGGTCTTGCAGAACTTAGCTCCGACTGCATGGACAGTTTCCAGGAGCTTGTCATTCATATGATTTCATTTTGCGTAAATTTATTTGCAGACTTTATAAAATTTAATTTTTCCTCTCACCGAGGGTAGTGAGATTGATATTTCGCAATAACAGCCATCCTCTCACTTCGTGTGGACCCACTGCATTAACGGTGCGGCCCCGCCTGAGTCGCGGAAGATAGGGAGAGTAGCGCATCGCCATTCTCCCGTGGCTTCACCTTGGCTACAGCGGTGGGGGGAAGGACATCCCTCTCACTAACTAACACACGTCCGAAGTGGGCTTGTCAAACCAAGCATTTGGAGTGGCCACCTAGGGCCAACCAATACGTGGTAGAGCCACACTGCAACTATATTATGGTTAATGTAAAGGTATGGACCGGAGAAGAACCACGCTCCCAAAGAATACCAGCGTAAAATAGCAGCTTAATACTGCTACGTATCGTATGGTGAATGTAAAGATCTGGAGATCTTTTTTACTGGAAACGAGGCATTCTATCTTAGTCCTCAGAGGTGACAACGCATCTCTATTTTGATTTTTAATGGAGGATAAATGTAGATATTATGGGCCACAGCATCCACTTAGCATCAGGTGGACTGTGTGCTAGTTTGTCACCTTTATTCTATTAAAAAAAACTATGTAGGTTCCTATTCGTTCACCACGGATGATCAAGCCAAGGATCCTATGCCCCCCCCCCTCCCGCCATGACAAGGCGGGAAGTCAGTCGGGGAGGGGAGGAAGTTAATTAGTCAACCTTGGTAAACTGGCCTGGCTGGTACTTCCACTATTAATAAAAAAATCATTTTGGATCCCTTACATCCACAACAGGATATCGAGTCCACTGCTGAACTTAGGACTTAGGATATTTGCCATAGTTACCACAGTTGCCATGTTAGACTGGTGGTTCCAAAACTGCAGTTTCTTGTTATAATTGGGTTTTCATCAGGAAAATGCTGCTACTCATCTCCTTTTTCAGTTACTCTCTGTCTCCTCTTAATTCACCAATAGGATGATTTTCAGTAGTGGATATTTCTACATTGCCATCAGACGGTTAAAACCGCCCCTACACGGTTACTTGGTTAACACGGTTAGCAGCAATCTACTATTTCTTTTTTTTTATCAGTAAACATCCAAAGCTAGGCTCCCTCAGAATTTAATCACCACAATAAAAAAAGAATTTAATCACCACACTTGACATGCGAATATCTGGTGGTACTAACGGTACCACCAAACGTTTCCACACCTTTGATACCGCCTCCCATCACCGTCTTGGATAGTTTATGGCTGGCGTAAATGAGATAGCTATAGCGCCATTTAACAGAAATCGTGATTAATCTTATCATCTCATCATCGTCATCTTATAAAAAGTTCAGTCCTACCAAAATCAGCGATAATTTTCCTCTAAAGTAACTTACTCAGAATGGGTAGTACTATACCCGACGTCTCCCTTTAATACTCCACCACTCCATCGGTGTGGTGTATCTGACTTTTTTTGTTTATTTCATACGGTTATATCGGCATTTAACGAAGGCAATATATTATTTCCTGGTTTTTTTAGTTCGCTTTAATAATACGGTACGATAAGATGAGGAGCACAGCAAGGACAGTACAACAATTCCATAGCCCAAGATTTCTTCCTGGCATCAAAACTCAAAACACAAGATAGTGTTACTAACATCGTCTCATTACAAAAACTAGTTTACTAATTAGCCTCAGGTTTAAACTATAGTCCATTTAAACTACGAACTAAAATAATAGGATTTCTTCAGCAAATGTAAAATATTGCACAGGAATTCTTTGAATTTTTTTCCACCATAGTTTTAATCCGAGACCAACACTTTCTGTATAAATAAGACGGATTAAGTTCTATATCAGTCGGCAACACTGAACTGTTGTTGTTGCTCGACGTGTAAGTAAAACATCGCGAGGAAATGAAATATTTCTAGGTTCATGTAAAACCTAATACGCACTAGAACAGCGTAACTAACTACTCTATAACCCTCTCAGAAATGAGAGGTCTCAGAGAAGTGTTTAGCCTACAGTCTTGCCTTTAAGTTTAAACTTACATTAGTATTGTCGTACGCTTCTTGAGGTGTACATTCAGCTTTACTCGTAGGATTCGAAAGTGCAAATATAATCGGTCTATCCGTATTTTTGGCCATTTGCTGCAATATAGCGGCGTTGAATGCTCCTCCGACAGTTGAACATCCTGCAAGTAGTAAAATTACACGTGTTAAAATTAAAAATTTGTACAACCGACTTCAACATAAACAAAATGAGAACATCATCAATGTAGTCGAAGTCAATTTAATACGCATTATTAAGGTTTACTTAAAAACTACAGGACAGTTCTCAATCATATTTATATGGGACCACATGAGAGCGCCTATTTTCAAATAAAAATCATCAATCATGAAAATCGGTTCACCTAGAATAAAGTTCTGAAATTTGAATTGAATTTGAATTGAGAAACTCCTCCTTTTTTAAAGTTAGTTGAAAGTGGCCAGGACCAAACAATCACGTCAGGTAAGTACTTGTTTGTTTCACATTTCAATTAAAACACATTCTAATAGCCTAAAATAGTATCCATTACAATATTACAATATTAATAAATCTGATTAAAATTACTACATTATTATTATTGATCAATCAGCAAAAATTTTAAATTGTAATGTAGACGCATGCACGCGTAGGTGTTATAGCCACGGTGCATCTACATTATGGTTGTAGCACGAATGAGCCGACCGGGGTAGGACTAAGCTCTCACAGAAAACCAGCGTAAAATAGCAGCTTAATGCTACTGTGTTTCTTACGGTGACTGTAGAGAACCGGAGACCCTTTTTGCTGGAAACGAGGTATTCTATCTCAGTCCTCAGGGGTAATAACGCATCTGCATTTTATTTTTTAACCGAGGATAAATGTAGATGTCTACGGGCCACAGCATCTAATTACCATCAGGTAGACTGTGTGCCCGTCTGTCACCCTTAATATATAAAAATGTAGGTATGTACTTTTGCTAATACAGGTTAAAACGTTACAAATAAAAGGTTAATTGTTAATAAAATAATGACAGTCTATAAAATTTATCTTTCATAAAATCGACCACAATTTCTATACACAAAAGTGTATGTTCACGACATAGATAGAACCGAAAATATTATTATTAACCTCTTTCAATATAAACGGTTTTATCTTATTATTTCATGCCTTAATTTGTTGACTTTAAACTTTTATAAACAGAGGACCGTTAAATGAAAAACTAAGTTCGAAACCACCTTTCAACAAAATTCGATAATATACATGATAAGATGCCCGCGACAGATAAAGGTGTAACCATTTTCATATGACAAATGTGTAATACATTTCCTCATATCAACCCGTAGCTATCGTTAGAGGCGATAGAAGGGAATCTGAAACAGGTTCTATAACTCAGTATTTGTAATAAAATGCGTGATACTAATCGAACGTCTAGCAGTGTACTGTTAACAACTTCGCAAAGAGGATGAAGATTTTAAGTCTCTCAAATAGGTGTCTCTTGAAATTTTTCGAATCAATTTGTCATTACATAATCAAACACCTTGCTATGTGGTAGAAATCATTTGTACTCGTACCTAAGAGTCCATCTGAGTACGTACCACTCTTTTAACTTTTAAACGAGTATAGTTGTAGCACGAATGGGTCGGCTCGACCGGGGAAAGACCACGCGCAAGAATACCAGCGTAAAATAGTAGCTGTTATGCTACGTACGGTGAGTGTAGAGAACCGGAGACCCTTTTTACTGGAAATGAGGAATTCCATCTAAGTCCTCACGGGTGACAACGCATCTGCATTTTGATTCGTAATCAACGATAGATGTAGATGTCTATGGGCCACAGCCACCACTTACCATCAGGTGTACTGTGTGCTCGTTCGTCACCCTATCCTATAGAAAAAAAACTATTTCAGTCACCAAACAGCAGTGCGTGCACTGCCTTATTCCAGTTTGAAAGGTATAGAGAACCAATATAATTACATGTTGTAATGCATTCCAACTTAGTCTTGACAAAGGTAACAACACATCTATAGCCTTCTTTATTCAAGTTGGTTGCTGGTATCTATGGGCAGCTGTACCCACTTATTATCAGGTAGAAGGTAAGTCAGTTTATCACGACAGTTTTATAAAAAAATCAAATTTTATATCACTTAAATAAAACTATTATTTACGGATTTTATCGCGTTTAATTACTACTTTACTTATTTTTATTATAACGACGTTTAGAGTGCTTTACAGCACCCATGGGTGCTGTAAAGCACTCTAAACGTCGTTATCGTCGTCACGGGGGGGACGGGAATAAATATTATATATAGTAAATAATAGTTTTATTCAATGTGTAGTGTTCGCGTAAATTTAAAAAATCGTGTATAAAGTTATGTGATATCTTGTGATTCAAAATAAGATAAACGATTTAAAAGTTTAATTACCAATAAGGCACGTAGGTTTATATTTTTCTACGCACTTTTGAAAGTTTTTACTTGGTTCTAAATCTCTTTCGAAATCTTTTGCATGTTCCGGTACACCGCCCTCGCGACGTGAAGTCAAAAGTCCGTCAATGTCGAACATATATATTTTATCACGAGCTTCCTTCTCAGAAATTCCATCTAAGAGCATCGCTGATACTGCTATGTTTGCGATACCAGTTGAAGCCTGAAATTATTACGAAATAATACGCATATTATGAAGCTTCTTACGGCTTATTAGTTGAACAATCCATTACATTTAAAAAACGTTTTTTTTTTAACTTTACGAACCGTTCCACAATGAACTTTATAAAAAAACTGTTTAAAAACTGTAGTACTAGTTCAACAACTTGAACGACTTAAGTTTTAAGTTGCCTTGAGTCGCAAACGAATAGTTTGAAACAAAAAAGTTTTCATATGCGCAAAAGAGAATATAACTCTTTTCGAATACAGGATGATAGTCATTAATCAAATAAAAGATCAAACAATATTTACAATTATCTTTTATAAGCATAAAAAGAAGACATTCCTTTTTGATTTCTCAGTTGAAAATGAATTGAAGATAATTCTTCTCTATATCTCATCCCAAAAGCTAATCCCTTTTAAGGATGTTGAAATTTACTACCGATATTTTGCGTGAAATAAAAGTGATGTGTCTTTATAGTTTAATGTGCATCTCCCTCCCTCCAACACTACTATACTAGCACAACACGTCTAAACAAAGCACCGTCATGAGAAAGGTTCAGCGATGTGGCTAACCAAGTAGCCAAGTTATTAAGCCAAATTAGCGGCTAACCGCTTATGTAGTTTTTAATAATAAACAAAAATAAATTTTTCTTCTTTGTATTTATGCACTACCATGCCGTTCATCAGATTGCGGTAATACTTTGTCAACATATTGCTTGCACTCTCGCGAAGGTTATAGGCATATTTGGACTCGATAGGTGGCTCTGTTATAGTATCCAGATATTACCGTGCGAAGCCGGGACAGATCGCTAGTTTTGATATAATAATAGATTTCCAGAAGGTAACGCCTGATTCCATTGATTATTTAATGGTCTTCATCATGTATAGGATAGAGAGACTATCCTAACACAACCAGTTCAAAAACAGAGTGTACTGTCAAAAATTACTCCATTTACGTTTAAGAATCTAATTTTCTTTAAAATCATGTCCGAATAGACACTAATCAATTGACTTGTTCTTTAGCTCATTAGTATTTTGAATTAATATAATTTATTAAAATAAATGCCGATAAAACTCCTCTAAATCAACCCGACAATTAAATGGCGTTTTTCACTTACAGAACCAGCACCAAGAAACATGATAACGTTTTCACTGATTTTCGTCTTAGTGATTCTGATTGCGGCTAATAAACCAGCAACTGCCACACTAGCCGTGCCCTGGATGTCGTCATTAAATGTGCAGTAATTGCAGCGGTATTTATTTAAAAAACGAGTAGCGTTTGGCAAAGCAAAATCTTCAAACTGAAATATTTACACACGTCTTTAAGTAATTGCTGCCAAGGTATATGAAATAAGGTTAAAATTACAACAAAAAATACATTTAACGACATGAGAAAATTACGTAAACATTTATATATATATATATATATATATATATATATATATATATATATATATATATATATATAATGGATAATATTAGAAGTAGTTTTACCAAATATTTCCACATTACCTGTAACAAAATACTTTGACCATATTTCTTCACACACGCCTGCATGAACTCATCAATAAACTCATCATATTCGCTTCCTCGTACTCGTTTTTGCCTTAGACCTATATAGAAGGGATCTTCCAAAAGACTCTGAAGACCAATAGATATGAATAATTTAAAAATTACTTAAATTGTATGTGTATAAGTTCGACAGCAAAAATTTAATGGGATTTTAACATCAAATAATTTGTTGTAATTATATTAAGTATACTTTTACTTAAAATCGCTTGTTTCCATATTATTCAAGATCATGATTATTTTCTCTTAGTATATTTGATGTATCTCTATATTATAAAAATCATTATCATTAGTCTCGCTAAAACTCGAACATGACTCGACTGATTTTGATGATTTTTTTTTTGTATGTTTGGGTGGATCTCTGAATGTTTTGGAATGACAATTGGTAAAACCAGGTAGGTAACGCTGTTGTCGAGATCCAGAAATCTCCCGTGCAAAGCCGGGGCGGATCGCTAGAGTAGTAATATAAAAGCAATCAATAATTAACGTTGCACTCATAGTTCAATTATTTATTGAACAACAAACATCACCATGTTAGCCGAATCTGGAAATTATCGGAATTTTGAAAACCGCGCCGTAATAAAATTCCTCGCAAAGAAGGGAAATACACCGAAAGACATGTTTAAAGAGATGTCATCGGTTCTTTAGGATTCTGCGCCTTCATATGTGATGGTAAAAAAATGGGTCCAATGGAAGAGCTGCGAAGACGACCCTCGCCCGGGCCGGCCTGTCACCGTACTGACCGAAGAAAACGTCCGAAAAGTCGAAAAAATCGTTTTGGGCGACCGAGGAATTAAATTGTGACAGATCGCTAAAGAGCTGCAGATTAGCAAAGAATGAATCGGAGATATTTCAGATGAACATTTGAATACGAGAAAAATTAACGCGCGCTGTGCGCCCAAAATGCTCACACCGCTCAATAAGCAAGGTCGACTCGCAAGTTGCAATGATTTTTTGGAGCTAGTCGGCGATAACAAGGCGCCAATATGATCCAGAGTCCAAACAAGAGTCCATGCAATGGATGAAAAAAGGAGAAAGGCCGCCGAAGAAATTCAAGGTGGAATTTTTTCCCCAACAAACCATGAATGGCCAATATTACGCCATTTATTGACTCAGGTTCGCGAGGCTATTGTACAGAAACGACGTCGGGAATCTGACACGCGGAGTGCTCTTTCTGCAAGACAACGCGCCCGTTCACACTGCACTTGTTGCGAGGCAAGCCCTGAAAGACATAGGGTGCTCAGAGATTAACCACCTTCCGTATAGCCGAGACCTAGCACCATGAATTTTTTTTCTGTTTACCAATTTGAAAAAGGAGTTACGGGGCCGAAAATTTGCAGATGACAATGAAATGAAAGCAGCGATTGATTGTCATTTTGAAGAGAAAGATACAGAATATTTTTGGGTGGGTTAAAGGCATTGTATGCGAGATGTGAGAAATGTATTTCACTTGAGGGAGATTATATTGAAAAATAAGAAGTAAAAACCATATATTTTCTTTCATTAAGTACCTTAGGCCGCGGATATCAGCTGTCCTATATAAATGAGTACTATTTATTATAAAAGCAAAGAGATTTCTAAAGAATATTTTTTCTTAAACGTATCAAATCTGTACACCATTGCTCTAATTTCCAATTTGGTTTATTTTTAAATCATTTTATATGTATTTTAAATAATAGTAAAATCCATTTCAGGATTGACTGACAAATAACCCGGAAAGATTTTCTATTTTCACAAGATATTTCAGACCCGACGAATATCAGAGATAACAAGGGATTAGATTGGAATGCGAGTGCAGGTTACATATGTGGAGGGTAAAAATCATTTAACAAGTAGAAATATTTTACCTGATTATCAGTGCCCACGTCCAAAGTTATAGGCAAACAATGATGTGGTTTTACACCAGCTAATGCTGTGTAGAGAGCCAATTTTCCAACAGGTATACCCATACCGTACGCACCCAGATCTCCTAAACCTAAAATTCTTTCACCGTCAGTGAAAACAATAGCTTGTACGTTGGTTTCAGGCCTGCAGAAATTACAATTCATTCATTCATGAAAATAAATACAATTTTTTCGTTTTTCTAGCTGCATAGGATGACCACTGTTTACAAGAGGAATAACATTACGAAGTCTTTGATCAGTACTAAGTAATTAAAATACTGTAATCATGCTGCTTTTATTTACTAATCTCGATCTGAGCTGATGTAGATCTCGAATTTTTTTATTGACTACGGAAATCGAAGAAAAGGAATACCAACCACACTTATTATAGTACGTGAGGGTAATATGGCTATCCGGTTAATAAGGTCACTTTCTTATAACTCAAAAACTAAAGCCTTGTTTGTATAGATGGCTTTGTGATACGATAGCTCTGCATCGGTCAATCAAATAATAAAGGGTGAAAAGGCGCTGCTTTAACGACGCCATTTTGACAGTTGACATTATAGTAAATATTTTAATCAATTTTACTATGTTGTAGTGTATGTAGTTAGTGTTTTAGTCATTTTTTTCGAAGCCTTCCTAATTATTGCCAAAGCTTGTTTGTTTTTTTAATTAATACTATTGTGTAATAATAATATAATTAATTTGTAATAATAATAATAATAATATATTTAATTTGTCATCCTTCTAGTTTTTGGTTTTATTGGCCTGCAAAACTTAAGTTGACCGTATTACGCACCTTATTAGTTTAGATGAGAACTCCATGCTAGTTTTTTTTTTCTAAAATTGAAATTAAGAAATTTAGCAATATTTATCAAAACACCAATTGACGAAAATTTTGTGAAAATAAAGCTTCATTTTATTAATATTTCGACTAACTGCAGCAGAAATTTATTACACAACCTAAACTAATTTATTTTTAGTTCAAAATGCGCTTTACCCATTAAGGACAGAGATAGTTTTAGCTCAGGGAATAAGCGCTCGACTTAAATTAGTACATTATATTACGTGAGCAAAACAAGTTTGATTCCCGCCGGCACTACAAAATAATGAATTACAATTTTAGTGCTGATTTAATACGTGTTGAGCGGTGTAATATAACAATGCGAGGATGTAACCTGAATAGTTGAGAAATCTAATTTCAAAAAATCAAGTAGAAAAGTCTGCCAACATAATTATCTTCAATCCTAAAAGCATTTCACGAATAAGAAGAAGCCTGTGCTCAGCAGTGAGACTTAGGGCTGTGTAGGTACTACTACTTGACTTTGACTGCCTCGTTGGTCTAGTGGTTGTAATAGTGCGACTGCTGATCATGAGGTCCTGGGTTCGAATCCCGGGTTGGGTCAAAAAATCAATTATTGAGTTTTTCCGTCAAGAAATTCTCAGTAGAGTTGGCGGTTTCTCACCCCCGTGCCTCGGAAAGCACGTAAAGCCGTTGGTCCTGCGCCTGATCTCTCTCCGGTCGTGTCGGTTTACCGTCCCATCGGATTATGAGAGCGAGGGAATAGAGAGTGCACCTGTGCTTGCGCATACACTTGGGCACTATAATCCTGTCCTGCGCCGATGGCTAGCCTCCGTTGAGGCAGGCCGCCGTGGCCGAAATTCAGTCTGGAGGACTACTTGACTTTAAACACTTATCATTATTTCTGTAAAATTATCTAATAAATTTTGTCCTAAGCTAAAAATATTTCGATTAACATAAAATACATACCAGTTGTTGAGAATTTCATAAATATGCCCTCTGTCATGTATAGTTATAAAAAGACCTCTCGGCCTTCTATATATTAATCCGAATTTCTGACATGCTAAGCCAACGGTCGGAGTGTATACAATGGGCATACATTTTTCTATATTTTCTGATAAAAGCCTAAAGTACAACTTTTCGTTTCTTTCCTTTAATTTTTAATAGAAAATTAAATTTAGTTAATGTATACAACACCTATTTAAATGAACATATAAGATAATTATTTATTAACGTGGTAAAGTTACGCTGCGACTACATTATAGTATATACAGCACGAATGGATATATCAACCACAAGATAACGGAATAATTAGGCAGTGGTGGCGTTGCTATACTGAACCCTGAAACATCAGTGTAAAATTGCATCTGAATGCTTCTGAGTTTCGTGTAGTCACTACACTATAGTGGGTGTATGTGTCTTTAAACATTTTTGTACTTTATCTTAATAGATTTTACGCGGTTCTTACTACCATTCGAAAAATTTCCTGAAGAAAATTTTCGTTTACAGTACATGCATGTTTATTTATGCATAGAAAAGATGGTTTCGTGTTCAAGCAGTAAAAAAAATAACACCACACATACAACATGTAACAAAAACCATGCGGTTCCCGTTAAGTGTATTATCAGATTCAGTATCCAAGTGTATAGAAATATTTTTTTAAATCACATTTAAAAAATTATTTTAATGAAAAAAAATTAATTTGAAAATTGTATGTGGTTTCATTTCCTCTAACTCACACGAGTATCGGTAATGCGGGGTCTTTGACAATCCTCTTACTCCTCGGCCAACGCAGAGATGATAAAACCACATACAATTTTCAAAAAAATTTTTTTTCATAAAAATAAATTTTAAGTGTTTTTTTTAATTATTTCTATACGCTTGGATACTGATTCCGATAACGATGTCCGCAATATTGAATGATCTCCAATATCGCATCAATGCTACGCTGGTGAACATTGAAAAGGGAACCACAGGGTTTTTGTTACACGTTGTATATACAGGTGAATGCAAATGATTCATCGAATTTGACGTCTTATAAATTCAAACTCTCGTATGATGTCGACATATTAATAATAATAAACCAATGAAAAGAGTACATTTTGAAGTTTTATTATATTTCACCAGGTTCATTGTTACTAGGTGACAGAATGTAAGGAATTAGGCGTTACTTTACGAAAATCCATTATATTAATGTTACTAAGAATGAATTCGCACACATCCGCTCAATAAAATAAAACGTTCCGAAAACAGTACAGTATACAGCCAACGCAATAAAACATTCTGTGGTGGTATCGACAGTTCAACGATACTAGTTGCTTCTGTAAAGGAAAAAGCTCCGAAAAACCAGGTGTTCCAGTCGAAAGGAGAGCATCCGAGCTATCCGATCGTATGTTGAAAGCCAATGCTTGGGAAAGAATCTCCACGTGTCTTCTACCCATACTGTTCTTCTAATTTTCTGACGTCTGATTTCATTAATATGTTCTTCATGTTCCTCTTCCTCTGCCAAAAGGGCGATAATCACAAAGTCTCAATTCATATTGAACTCGTTTATCAACGTCGGATTTTGGCATCAAATTGGTCATGCACGCCGCCCTAGCAACCCAGAGCACTTTCAATGAATCTTACTCACGGAGGCGCGTGGATGTCGCCTGCATGGTCGAGTAGTCAAAATTTTGCTCGAGCATGCGCGAACATTTTGCAGTTCGGTCTGCGCTTACCCTAACATTAGGAAACTTGAAAATTTGGTTTTTCATAAACACAGTGAGTCATTCAGGATTTTTTTAGTAATCATTTGTAATCATGCTGTATTTCCAATTTGTTTGTTGATAAAGTCTTATAGCTACAATGAATATTGACATATTCAAAACGAAAATTGTTTAAAATTACCTGCAACTCGACCAAATAAACATATTTATTCAAATCGTTCTGATATCTGTCCAGAGAAACTCTACAGTTTTGCACCTGTTCTTCTTGTGTTTTTACTCTAGCAGCCAAAAGACCTTGAATACCAAATGTTTGACGTTCTTTGAGAGTAAACGCTAAACCCTAAGAAAATAGATTAATCAGTAAAAGATATATAAGAAAAAGAAGAAAATAGATTAATCAGTAGAAGATAGATAAGAAGTAGATTAATTAGTAAAAGCTAGATTTTCATCTATGTTAATAGGTACTACAGTAATAACTTTTACGCAAAGTAGAAAAAACATTTTTATAAAACTATCTACTTAGTACTTGATCGGTTATTCTATTAAGTAAGTAAGACTCCTGTGAAATTACTTACAGGGGTTACTATGCTGTTTTTATAAATTTTCCCTACATCACTTAAACTTTCCTACAAAATACTGCAGCTCAATACTAATATTAGTGAGAATTACTCAGAAATCAAGTCTCAAGCAGAAATACACAAAGTCGCCCGGCGAGTGATGGAAAGAGCAATGTTCGAAGTTTCTATGAATACGATTCGTAATAAAGTAATCCACCGGAGAACCAAGGTAGCAGAAAAAATTTGCGTCGAAGTAGACGTGTCAGAGTGGAAACCGTACTGATAAACACACTGTGGGACGCCCCCTAGCTGGATGGAGAGACGCCTTAGGGGACGCCTATGCTCCACAAAGGACTGCCGCAGGCTGATGATGATGATGATGATGATGGTATCAAAATAAAACACTCATTCGAATGTCAAAGCATTTAATATAATACATAGTACAAACAGAAAAAACAAACAAACATGTGTGAGTGCAGTACACACGCAGTAAAAGTGAAACCTTCAGAAAACTAAATATCGAGAGAACGAGACGAAAGCAGTATATACACTGACCTCTATATATACAAGTACGCTGTACTGGCTATACCATACAAAATGGCTGTGCCAATTTGAAGCGCCGCTAAAGGATGTCTTGAAAAATAAAATTGACATAATATGCCAAAGTCTGTTGTCTTATTTATATTGTCATATTTAAAAAATCTGTATTTTGAACTTTTAAACTAAAAAACGAAAGTATTTTATGTTGTTTGATTGTGTATAATTTTAGTTACATAATATGATTTATTTTTATTAATAATGAGAGTGTGCGTAATCTGTAAAACTCGTTACCAAGAGGGAAGTGGTGTAACATTTCACAAGTAAGTGAATTTGCAGCAAATATTAAACAAATTAAAACTATTTGATAATATAAGTACTTAAAAATATGTTACTAATCTTAATATCATTTATACCAACATGTTTGGCTGTATAATACTGAGTTTTGATAAACAATAAAATTCAATAGGGTTGTCGAGTTCCTTGTCTCTAATACTTATCGATGTTCTTTCCTACACACAATATCTGTTAATAAACAAAGTCGCCTATAACAGATGATTATCAATTATAAACAATGTTTATTAATTAACAGGTTTCCAACTGAACCTAAACTAAAATTATGGCTTAAAAGCATAAATATTGTGAATTGGCGTCCGAAACAAAATGATCATATTTGGTCCAAACATTTCACATGTGAATGTTTTATTAGACATGAGAACTGCACCACTTTGAAAAGTGCAGTATACCGACAATATTTTGTGGTAGTACCAGTACCAGTAAGTATAAAAGTATTAGATTATTATTTAGAACGTTTTTTTGTTTCTTCTTTCCTAATTTTCCACCAAACTCAAGGGTCATAGCCAAGTGTCGAAAGGTCGCCTGATGATGTCGAGCCACTAGGACGTGTGTAGTGGGCTGCGGCTAGAGGAGATTCCTCTCCCTGTACCGCTGTAGTTGAGGTGGAGTAGTAAGGGAAGAGGAGTGTTAGTATGGCGATTGGCGATGCGCCACTCGACTACCTTTGCTGCCATTGGGCGGCTGGGGCCGCGGATGTGCATAAAAGCGTTTCCTCCGAGATAGAACACCATGGGATTTTAGTAAGTGCGATCTAGAGATTTAATTCTCTCTCAATTGCAGGCACGTAGTAGTATGAGTACATATTTGTGCTATTTGCTGTAGAGACTATTGGTCCGTAGGGTGAATGTGCGGTGTAGTTCCTAAAAAACTGTATCTGCGACTGATCATCGCTGCTGGTAATAAGAAGTTGTTTAGTTTGTTGCTTCCTTGCTTGAAGGCTAAGTATATCCATTCAGAGAGGATACGTAACCATCATTCTTGGGACGATACCACGGAAAGTAGGACTGTATGATAATTTCAGTTATTTTTTTTAATACTGTAATTTTAATTTAGAAAATAACGTTGTAAATAACTGATAACTATGTAATTCAAAGTTTATATTTTTTTAATATTATCTTGCTAGCTCGTTCCCGGCGCATTGCTGCCACAAAAGGAATAATTGTGGAAATATCGTTAAATGTGTGGAACAGTTATATTGTATAATTAGGAATGATAATACAATCATTGAAATAGAATGGTATATAACTTTCTATAACTCAAATAAATAGTCAGTATAATATAATACGCACGCCACCTAGTGTCAGTTAGTTGTACCATGCGTTTAACCTTCGCACGAGTGCAACCAATAAGTTGACTAAGTTTTACCGCAATCTGATGAACGGTATGGCATCGTAGAAAATACGAACAAACATAAATTTTTATATAGTAGAAAATATTTTACTGTCTATAGACAGACCTGTAGTTGATTAGAATAAGCGTTATTATAGCAGCTGATTTGTTTTTCTTTATAATACTAGAATTAAATAAACGATTGAAAATAAATTATTTTAGAAACTATGTTTTTTATTTTTATTTTGTGTAGATAGTTTAATCTTAATAATTTTTAGTTGAATGGTCTAAAGGCTACGATGGCTATCCGAGTACAGAACCAGAGTACAAAACTAATCCAACTGTAGAGATGTAAGACAGGGTGAAGTAATATCCCTAAAATACTTTACCGCTGCATTGGAACACGTTTTCAAGCTACTGGACTGGAAAGGATACGGTATTAACGTCAATTGCGTGTACGTCACTCACCTTCGATTTGTTGACATTATAGTCCTTATGGCAGAATCGCTGGAGGACCTACACACTATGTTCAATGACCTCGATAGTGTCTCCCAACGTATAGGTCTTAAGATGAACATGGACAAAACAAAAGTCATGTGTAATGTCCATGTCACACCTATGCCGGTGGTTTTTGGAAGCACTTAGCTGAAGTTGTTGACGAGTATTTTTACTCGGGACAAATAGTCGGTATTAGGTCGAAGTTGAACTAGGTAAGTTCAACTTCGACCGACAGGTCAATCGACGGATTCAAATCGGCTGGGCAGCGTTCGGGAGATCACAACACATCTTCTCGTCAGGAATACCTCAAAACTAGATTGTACAACAAGTCCGTGTTGCCAGTGATGACTTATGGATCTGAGACGAGGTCTTTCACTGCTGGCCGTATGAGGAAGCTTGAAGTCGCTAAGCGAGCTATGAAGAGGGCTATGCTCAGGGGTTCGAACTTAGGAATGAGGATATCTGCAGTAGAACCAGAGTGACCTACATCGACCAATGGATTATTAAGCTGAAGTTGCAATTGACCGGTTATATAGCTCGAAGAACCGAATACCGATGGGGAAACAGGTTCTCGAGTAGCAGCCTCGTACCGGCAGGTGAAGTGTAGGACGTTCCCCCACTAGGTGGAGTCAAAACCTGGTAAGACATGCAGGAAGTTGATGGATACAGGTAGCTCAGAACCGTGCTTTGTGGCATTACTTGGGGGAGGCCTATGTTCAGCAGTGGACTTGTGAAGGGTTTTAATGATGATGAATGATAATTGCATTATATTAATATGATACATAAATAGAATGAACGTTACGGGTAGAGTCCATCTATGCATAGAGTCCATTCTATTTATTTAGGTATAGGTAGGGTATAGAATTTTTATCGATATAATTTTGTACACTGTCATCCCTATTATTAGTTCCGTGGACGTGCACTTCTGCTGTCAGCGCCAAAATGGCGGAAATCAAATCGCTTCATCATGTCACGATGTATAGCCAGTCCAGCGTACTTGTATATATAGAGGTCAGTGAGTATATACGAATGATGCATATGTTTGTCTCTTTTTAGTGTCGCTTTTTCGTTTCATCGAGCTCCAAATCACAACGAATCTAAAGAAGTTTTCACTTCAAAAATAAGCTTATGAAGCTTGTAGTCGACTAATATTACATACATATTATAAGTTTGTAAGTAAAATCATAATTACCTATACCATAAAAAACAAGTATAACAGAAAGTGAAAAACAACACTAAAACTATTTACTATTTTATAAAATTACCTTAGAGGTATGTTGTATTGAAAAATAAGAAAATAAAATGGCATAAAAATAACCAAATGGTCACTGATGGATAATTTACAAGGATCAAAATGGGCTAATCGAAATTCTGTGATCGAAAGAAGATAACTATCGTTGGTTTTACTTTTCTCATTATCAAACAATAGATTTATGTAAAACTAAGTCTAAACTTCACAAATTGGGGAGATAAACTACCATTTCATAGAGTTAGTAGTAGTATCAGGATGAACGGACGTACTCGTGGCCTCCGATAGATAATGATAACCTCTTAATTTCAGATGTAGAATAATATATCGATTATGGTGATCAGTGACAAACGTCAGAGCTTCCTTCTACAGCCTCTCAGTGACGTGCGTGTGGTGATAACAGCAAATTCGCACTAATATGAAAGAAACTACAGTGAACTATTTACAAATCGATAAAAGAATTTTAAATTGTATACAAATTTAAAACTCACATGCAGTACATAAGAATCAAACTATAGATAATTTTTTAAAAGGATTTTGTGTCCCTTTGAGCGACAACAACCTAATTTATTGTTATTCAACAATGAGGACCGGCGCCGCAGTTGCGGCAAGCTAGAAGTTCAACAATGAATTTGCCACGGCCTGCAAGCTGAAACGATTTAGATTCTGCATGCATTGCAATTTTTAAATTTTATAAAGGAAACACCATTTTACCTATGTTGGTCTTTAGGAAAACAAAGGACATCGATTATAATGTAAATTACCTTGTTCAGTCGAGGATCTCTCAGATGGTCTATCCCTCTAGTCATATTTACAGAGATCGTATCACCGCATACTGTATTAAACTCACGACTATGTTTGAAGGAAGGATCACATAGCAACAAATATTTGATCCAACAACGTGTGAAGCAACTTCGATTTACTACTCTTATTGATCGCCTATTATTTAACCGAAAAATCCTATTAAATATATCAATGTATAAGGATATATACAAAACATATTTGTAATTTTTTTTATAGAATAGGGTGACAAACGAGCACACAGTCCACCTGATGGTAAGTGGTTGCTGTGGCCCATAGACATCTACATCTATCCTCCATTAAAAATCAAAATGCAGATGCGTTGTCACCCGTGAGGACTGAGATGGAATGCCTCGTTTCCAGTAAAAAGGGTCTCCGGTTCTCTACACTCACCATACGAAATACAACAGCATTAAGCTACTATTTCACGCTGGTATTCTGTGAAAGCGTGGTCCTTCCCCGGTCGAGCCGACCCATTCGTGCTACAACTATACTACTAATATAACTGCAGCATGGCTCTACCACGTATAAATACAATTGTTTTTATTAGTTTAATTAATATTATCTTAAGCACAGATTTATGATTTGTAGTGATAGTTTGAGCCGTTATAAATAATTTGTTATTTATTACTATTACAAGATAATATAAATTGATAATGAAGTATCTCTTCAGAAGTAAATTAAATATAAAATTTATCATTAACTTACGACAAATGTGAATAACAAGCAAGATTCATCATTTTAGTAATAATGAGGTTCATGATAAAATAAAAATCATAAAAATATCAATTAATTTAAAAATTCTTTTTTGACGTTATAAATACTTCTGCATTCTATCAAATCTGACACAAATAAATGAAAAAGATTTGTTATGGTAATCTCATAGACTTAGAATATACTATAGTCATTAATCTATGTAGCATACTTTGCCTACGCTTAAATAGGTAGTAGTAATAGACCGGACATCAGTAACAAAATTGTCGTCTGTAACTTTTGTCCTATAGGATATATTATCTCCGATTTTTGTCATTTAGTCTAAGTGACATCGTCAAAAGGTCAAGACGCATTCGTTTCATACATTTATAAAATATTTTTAAAGAAATTAGGCACGGTTGTGCATTAAAGTATTGTAAGTCACGATACGGAGCAAAAATTTAACGTGATTTCGGTTTATTATCGTTAATAATGTGTATTATCGGTAATAATGTGTATTTACCAAATAATTTTTAAATTTTATTATTTCTAGTGGTTTGTTCTAGAAGAAAGAAAAATTATTGTAATAAGTGCCGTCTGTTATCCAATAACGTCACTATTTATTTACAAATATTTTAGTGATTAACGATGTGCCTACAACGGATTTTTAGCTTATGTTTAGTAGCGTCACCTACTGGGAAATAGCTAAAATATTTTCTAAATAAATATTCAGTGTAGTATTGCTATATTTCGCTAGAGGGTGTAATACATGCGCGTGGTCACAACTTTTGTATGTAAATGTTTCTAATGTCCGCTCTATAGTGTATATATATATATATATATATATATATATATATATATATATATATATATATATATTTAAATCTCTTTGAGCGTAGGTAATCTACTAATCCACAAACCATGCTTACATTATAACTCCTTCTTACATCAATATAGCACTTTTTTTTAATATTTTTGCGCGCCTAAGTTGACGTCTGGCACTAGCGCCATCTAGTGTCGGGTAACAAAGCGAGGAGAGCTTTCCAGAAAATGACATGACTAATCTTTCGACCAACAGCGCCATGTAATATCGAACAGAAGAATTAAGCTTTCTGGAAGCCCCACACTCGAACATTCTGCGCCTGGTCGGTTGGCGCGCGTATTTACTTGAATATTCTGGACGTTTCGGTGAAAAATGTGTATTTAAAGGCGCTGCAAGACGCGGTCGGGGCAGTATCGAATTTGGCGAGACAAGCGAAGCTTCGGAGCGAAATAAAGTGAATCAGTGTGATTAATTATTTATTCTCTTATTATAATCTTATTAAAATAAATATATATATATATATATATATATAATATTATTCTATTATCTTTTAAGTTTTAATTAGTGTAAAGTGAATTAAGGTGTTAATTTTGGTAATTCAATCGGCAGTTTTTATTGTCAAGAACCCAAAGCTCGTAACAATTGGTGTCAGAAGTGGGATATAATCATGCCGATTTTACCTAACGACGAGATGGAGGGTGTCCGTACCCGAAGTCAACGCCAGCAGGAGACGGATCAGAAACGATTCGGTGGTGCAACGCCGCAGACGTCAGAGGGCCAAGTGCCAGCCACAGAGGCTGGCCCGTCAGCAGCCCCTACACATGCAGCACCTTACTTAGGTGCTCTGATGGTGATGCAGCAGGAACAGGCCCGCCGACAGGAGGAACAGGCCCGGCGACAGGAGGAACAGGTCCGTCGTTTGGAAGAGCAGCTGCGGGGCGGACAAGAGGAACAGGCCCGTTGGTTGAAAGAGCAGCAGGAGGAACAGGCCAGCCGACAGGAAGAGCAGATGCTCCTCGTGAAGGACATTCACGCTAACTTCGGGAAAGAGATAAGGGAGGTGAAGAATAGGGTTGCTCAACATGACAACCGCCTGTCGGAAGCTGAAACCCAAATCAAGGAAGCTAAAACCCAAATCGACCAAGTGAACAATCGGGTTGATTACGTGATGGCTGACGTGCCACGACCGCCGGACGACCTCAAACTGAGGGATGGAACTACAGCTCCTGTAGTAGCTACTACACCTTCGCTACGTGGGTTCAAAGTGCCACCGTTCGACGGTACTTCTTCCTGGGAACCCTATAAAGGGAAGGTGAACGATCTCAGGAGAGTAGTGCGGCCAACAGCACCACTCAGCAGCAGCAGGGAAATGAGTAAAAGCCAAAACTGCGGGGCGGTTGCTGGCTGGTGTTAAAAGAGCCCCAAGGATCTCGATCTCACAAACCCATGATGGAAACAGTCTAATCATCAAGGGTGAGGTTAACGGAATGCCGTGTAAACTGACCATAGACACTGGAGCCTCTCGTACGGTTTTTAGTTCCCAACTTATAAGTCAGTTCCTTGGGGACTCCGCATACAACCGAGAACGCATTAATTTGGTAACAGCCACCGGTCAGCGTATACCCGTCCGTGGAGAGAAAGAGATGGAGTTGAAGCTAGGCAACATGATCTACCTGCATAATGTCATCGTGGCTGATATAATGGACGACTGCATCCTGGGCCTAGACTTTATGAGGAATAATTGTTGTGAGATCGACGTTAAACAAGGTGTTTTGAAATGTGGTCAGGAGGAACTTTTTATGGAAGGTGCGTTACCAGGGAACGTGTACAGCAATTAAGAAAATTGTTCTTCCACCGAGATCGGAATCGATTGTGCCGGTTATTCTTCGTCGAAACCCTGGGCAAGCTCACCGTTGTGTACTTGTAGAAAACAATGACCTTCCATGGAAAGTAGCTCGAACCTTGGTCAGAACCACTGACATCTCAGGAGTATGTGTGCTGAACCTTTGTGACCAGGAACAAATTATAGAAAAAGGCACACTGGTTGGTACTTGTGAGGAAATGGATTGGTTACGTCGGTGCCAATATCTATCGAGTGGGACCCCCAGCAAGGATGCATAAACGAGGGCGACCACACTTTTGGTAGGCTGTCGCAGCGTTCTGTCCCCGAACTAAATGGTCAAGGCGAAGATGTTGTTACTCAAGTACGCCGATGTATTCTCATCAAACGATGCTGACATAGGAAAGACTGTCTTAATTCAACACAAAATAAACACAGGAGAAGAATTGCCTATCCGTCAGCGGCCAAGAAGATTGCCGGTAGCACGTGAAAAGGAAGTGGAAACCATGATTGAGGGAATGGTGAAAGATGGTGTTATTGAACCTTCATCTAGTCCATGGTGTTCACCCGTGGTGCTGGTAAAGAAGAAGGACGGCAGCATGCAGTTCTGTGTTGACTACCGCCGTCTGAACGACGTTACAAAGAAGGACAGCTATCCCTTGCCAAGAATTGATGACACGCTGGACATGCTTACAGGAGTAAAGTGGTTTAGTACGCTGGATCTAAAAAGTGGCCACTGGCAAGTTGAAATCGACCCTAAAAACTGCGTTCTCGACGGGAGAATCTGTGGCAATTTAAAGTAATGCCGTTTGGATTGTGCAATGCTCCAGCAACGTTTGAAAGGCTTGAGAGCTTGTACTTAGCGAGCTAATTGGCGATGCCTGTCTGGTCTACTTGGATGACATCATCATTGTGGGCCGTACGTTTGAGGAACACCTTCAAAACCTGGAATGCGTGCTCATGAAGATTCAGAGTGCCAACCTCAAGTTGAGTCCGAAGAAATGTTCACTATTCCAACGGCATGTCAACTTCTTGGGGTATGTAGTGTCGGAAGAAGGTATCCGCACGGATCCGGAGAAAATCGCCGCTGTCAAAGATTGGCCGGTTCCAAAAGACAAGACGCAGGTTAGAGCATTTTTGGGGTTGTGCTCCTATTATCGGCGATTTGTGAAGAACTATGCAGATATAGCCAAACCTCTGCACAAGCTAACCGAGGAGAAGCGACATTTCTGCTGGGGTGAAAGTTCGCATTCCAGGAGTTCAAGGACCGTCTGTGGAAAATACCTATTTTGGGATACCCTGATGCAAGCAAAGAATTTATAGTTGACATAGTTGATATAGGACTTGGCGGTGTGTTGTCTCAACGGAATGGTGACCAAGAGGTCGTGATAGCGTACTTCAGCAAGTCGCTGTCAAAACCAGAAAGGAACTATTGTATCACATGACGTGAATTGCTAGCTGTAGTAAAGTCGTTGCAGCATTTTAGCAAATATCTTCTGGGCCAAAAATTTCACTTACGAACTAACCATGCTGCACTAAAATGTGTAAAACTAAAATGGCTATTGCAGTTTAAAAATCCAGAAGGACAAGTTGCGAGCTGGATTGAACTACTGCAGGAATACGACTTTGAGATCGAACATCGCAGCGGGAAA